TCCAGGCTTCTCACTTGAGAATTGAAATGTTTTCGACTAGAACAACTCAGAACAAAATTATTAGATGAGGACAACAATATAACGCCTACTTTACTCTTGATTGGAAAATTTTATTTCTCGATTTCTTTGGGTAAAAGACTTTTTCCAGGTTTCTCGCTTGAGAATTGAAGTGTTCTCGACTAGAACAACTCAGAATAAAATATTATGACGAGAACAACAATATAAGGCTCACTTTACTCTTAGTCAAAAATATTATTTTTCGATTTTAATGAGTTAAAGAATTGTTTCAGGCTTCCCGCTTTAGAATTACAGTATTCTCGGTTAGAACAATTCAGAACAAAAATTTAGAGACCAAAACACTAATATTAGACTTACTCTTGATCGAAAAATATTTTTTTTCCATTTTAATGGGTTAAAGAGTTGTTCCAGGCTTCCCACTTTAGAATTACAGTATTTTCGATTAGAACAACTTAAAACAAAAATTTAGAGACCAGAACACCAATATTAAACCTACTTTACTATTGATCGAAAAATTTTTTTTTTCAATTTTAATGGGTTAAAAAGTTGTTCCATGTTTTTGCTTTAAAACTATCATTTTCTCGAACTAGAACAATCGAGAGTAAAATTTGTAATACCAGAACAAAAAAAAATATTTTTTGATTAAGAGTAAAGTAGGTCTAATATTGGTGTTTTGGTCTCTAAATTTTTGTTCTGAGTTGTTCTAATCGAGAATACTGTAATTCTAAAGCAAGAAGTCTGGAACAAATCTTTAACCCATTAAAATTGAAAAAAATGTTCTTCGATCAAGAGTAAAGTAGGTCTAATATTGATGTTTTTGTCGTAATAATTTTGTTCTGAGTTGTTTTAGTCAAGGACACTTCAGTTCTCAAGTGAAAAGCCTGGGACAAGTTTTTTACACGAGAAAATAAAAAAATTAATTTTCCAATCAAGAGTAAAGTAGGCGTTATATTGTTGTTCTCATCTAATAATTTTGTTCTGAGTTGTTCTAGTCGAGAACACTTTAATTCTCAAGTGAGAAGCCTGGAACAAGTCTTTTACCAAATGAAATCAAGAAATAAAATTTTCCGATCAAGAGTAAAGTGGGTCTAATATTGGTGTACTAGCCTCCAAATTTTTGTTCTGAGTTGTGCTACACGATAATAAACATTATCTAAATCGACAATCCTGTAAGTTATTTTGTTTCTGAATTAATGGCAAAAATCGATTTTTTTTATTTTTCGTTTTTATTAAATATCTTCTAAACTTTTTGACCAATTAAACTAATATTTTGGAACAATGTTTAGAACAATTAGAACAATACAGAACAACCAAAAAATTGGATTTTTCAAAAAAGGGGATCCACTAAAAAACCATTTTTTGCTATATCTTTGTAAATACATCTTTCGGAGAATTTGTACTTTGGAACAATGTTTAGAACAACTAGAACAATCCAGAACAACAAAAAATTGGATTTTTCAAAAAATAGAGGCCGCAATAAAAAACCGTTTTTTTGCGTTTTTCCTCTTGTTTTTTGGGTTTTAGGCTTATAACTCTGGAACAATGTAGAACAAACATAGAACAATCTGGAATAACTATAAAAACATTAAAAATTATAAAAGGGGGGCTAACTTCATACACACTTGATTTAGTATTATGTTGGACAAATTATTAACCTTCGCGATGACAACCGCTCAATGGAACGAATATAACACGAATATAACACAGCACGAATCGAGACAACCAATCAACATCGTGGAAAAGCGGCAACAATACATGCGAGAATCAACTTTACATGTCTTTTTTAGAAAAGGAAGAAAGGGAAAGGGATGTTTAAAACACAAATTAATGACGCCTTTAAGACGTCTTATGTGCCGATTTTAGACATTTTGTTTTCTGGGAAGTTTCCCCATTTTTTTCTCTGACAAGCAGGTTTCTGGGGCGTTAAAAACTTTTGTTTGAATATGCTGAAAACATTTTGATGCGGAAGAAACGAATAATAAAATAACACGTTGCGTTATGTACGTATTGTTATGTATGTATGTGTGCGTTCAAATTTGGACGCGTCAAACCGTTAAACCATGCGAATTAATCCGGGATCACACGTAAGAATCAGATTAGTCACATCGATCGAAAACGAAGTGTATATACCAGGATGGTCTGCTTGCCGGCTTTGTACGAAACAAGATCTCATTTCTAGTTGACTGGACCAGAGCAAAAATATGGAGAGAAATAGAGAGAAAGAGGGAGAGACGCTCATCGCACATAGCGCGCGCTGGACTTGGACTTTTTTCTCTTTCCTCTCTCGCGTTCGTTCCGCGCGCATGAGAGGAGATGCTCTTCTCTCGGAAAGAGCGGCAAACTTTCTAGAGATGATCGCCTACGGGAACCTCGATTCCGGTCTCTTCCGCAGATCGTCGATCTTGGCCGAGTTCCTTGGCGGCGACCTCTTAATCAGCGCGATCGCGCTAATTTATCCGTGATGAGATATCGTTTTGCTCCATGATTCGCATGCAATATTTATCCACGCTTAGAAAAGAATAAACTGACCAAAGTCGTACTTATTTTTGCGGAAAATAAATACGACTCGTTCATATGGGGAGATTTAAGAGACTCAATAAAGAACAATGCTGAAAAAGGGCCAAAATTTGCCTGTAAATGAAATGTATGAAATCGGTATATCTTTGTTTTGGACCTGCTGAACTCAAAAATGAAGTTTAAAATTGTCCATATAATTTTTGGCTGCTAATCAATCACACATCCTCCGATTTCTTTGATCCGTCTCGAAAATTATAATCTCATAATTAAATCGTTAGTTTCCTCATTATGCGTGCGTTAATTATCGCACGTACATATAAAAAACTCTAGTAAGAATGTAATATGAATGTTATATAGGGACCGCGATGTAATTACAAAGTTAATTACGCGTACCAAAGTGTACGCACTCTTGAGAGCTGGATTAGCCGAACTTATCCATCAACGTTCGCACAGGCAACGTTCCGAGCCGACAGTCCCAGCGCGGTTCTGGCTTTAGATAACTCTGACGTTGTTCCGTACACACGCGTGTAACGGATCGTGCCGACTTTGTTACGGTATTTCCGGCGTCAGCTTTGTACGTCGCAACAAATTCCGTCGCGTGTCGGGAAAACACGCGATAGAGATCTGCACGCGTGTCACGTGGACAACGAATTGCCGAATACACATTTGCGGAATACGCGAACCTCGCGAAGTACTCTAAATCCATGAATCATAAAAACCAGAGATAAGTTCAAGAATCAACAAAAACGTCACATTTCTTTATCTCGTGATATTTGATGCACTGAAAAAAAATTATATTCTTATTTTATAAATTTCTCTTCTTATTTTTAGAATAATCTTGTTCTAAAATAAGCGCCAAAAAGGATTCTCTTATTTTAAGAAAGTAATCCTTTCAAGATTGGTATTCCTAATTTATAAAAATGTAAATTAGTAAAGTACATTATTTATTACAGAAGCAAAGAAAGCTTAGATATAGTAAATAGACTAGGCATGAAAACACGAGACTGAATCCTGAATTACATAAATTAGTTTACACGTTACTTACGCGTGAACACTTTTTTCTTTTTTTCGAACTAATGATTAAACTTCATTCATTCTTCTAACAAATTAAAACCATTCAATGACATATACTGCACTGCACTGTAAATTGCAACATTATATAATCATTACGTTGCTGTATTATGATCAGAACACCAAATAAACAGTCTGCAAAAAAAAACCTGCGATTGTTTATTATTAACAAAGAATATATTCTTAGTTTTAAAGAATGGGTGTCATTTTGGATATTTCTGATGAGTTAAATGCTTACTTACGATTACATTTAATAATAACGTTAACATGAACTTTTTATTTTATTATAATTTGGCAACCATTTATTTTTTATTATGGGTATATATATATATATATATATATATATATATATATATAATTTTTTTTTATATTTTGTGAGGATATGTAAAAAGTTTGTATCCAAGTATTTTGTAAATATCTTGTATATACTGGATGTCTCTTAGAATTACTGAATCACCTGGTAATGGCAGATTCTTGGAATTATTTGGATACGAGTTTTCCTCAGCGAAAATGTTGATAATTTTCAAATTATAAGCGATTAAAAATAAAGATTTTTTTCGTAAACTATGCTTCGTGGGAATAAAATATAACACAACTACATTTTTCACTTAATATCAGATAAAGTTTACTTTAATAAAATGTTAATTTAAAGCTTATTGTTAGTTACAAAAATACATGATAGCAAAAATTGAGAGCTTGCGAAAAATAATGACCTCTCTCGACAGAAAATGTCGTCTTCAAATAACCTGAGAAATCTTTTATTAACATATTTTTTTTTTCTTTAAAATTTTTTCGGCAGATTACATATTTTTCTCTTTAAAAATAAAATGAAGACTCATATTTTTATTTTGTTTCAATATCACAAAAAATATTTCTCAGCAAAATCTTGGAAAAGGATTTTGACGAATTTTTTTGGTGAATCTTGTTCCATTACACGAACGTTCTAAAGCAAGGCTATATACACATTTCTGCTATAGAGATCTCCCGTCATTACGTACGCAATTTCCCACGTGGTCATGACGGCGGAGGCAGGAATCTCGGAACGTTCGCTGACTCGCGTGACACGGCTGTCTGTCAAACGTTAAACGAAGTTCGTCGTTCACTTCCGCGCGCGGCAGTGATTTTTCCGAATGACAACACAAATCCATCTGCGGTTTTCTCCGCGCGCGAGTCGAGAAAAAAAATTCACCACGGCCGCGTTTCGCTTAACCGCATTATAGACAAAGTAAAGTCGGCCATTGCTTTTAAAATAAATAAATAAATAAATAAAAAATTTATGATGCATTTTTTGTCGATATATCCTCTTGTACATGTTCTGCTAATTGTAACGCCATTTTAATTAAAATTTAATTACCAGGATATATATTAATCATTATATTAATCTGTATTTTCAGAAGGCGTTCAGACAGATTCCAATCCAAGCCAAGGAATCATTCATTATTCGAGTGTGCAGCGTACTGTTACGGGGAAGGTATAATTAGCACAATTATTATTTCATACGGCAAGGAATTACTTAATAATTTTGTACGTTCTTAATTCAATACATACAGGGAAGAATCATACATGAAATCATCAGTAAACGTGATGATGACGCTTATTTCACTTTACAATTACGGTTAGGGTTAGGTTAAGTCAAGTTAGGTCAAATTAGGTTAGATGGTAATTAAAAACCTATTACTTTCTTTAATGATTCTGTCTATTGTTATGTCTAATTTACGAAAAGCGTATCTTTCTTCTTTTACTTTCCATCTTCGTAAAGCGGAAACGAGACACGTTTCGCTCATACATACATATGTATATACATACGCGCAGTATGTGTAGGCGTTAATTTTTGCGATGCTTCGATCAGATAAATTAGCATGTAGCATGCATCGGAGAAAAGAAGAGAAGGAAAAACACATCGATCGATGTACAACTGTTGATGGCAAAAATATACGCGGAAGATAGATATGCGAGACTAATGTGTATGTGTGTGTGTGTGTGTGTGAGAGAGAGAGAGAGAGAGAGAGAGAGAGGGAGGGAGGGAGGGAGGGAGGGAGGGAGGGAGGGAGGGGGGAGGGAGGAGGGAGGGAGGGAGGGAGGGAGAGAGGGAGCTTATTACTGCGCTGCTGGGTATCAGCAATTCGCGACGCGGGCAATTGTGTGTGCGCCTGTTGTACATCTATCTGCCTACTTGTGCGTCTGTAGTTGCGTTAAAGCGCCTTTACCTTCGTTCGCCTTATGCCATGGAATGACTTGCTAATAACACGAATCGTTATCTAACGAGAGGGAATCGGAAACGTGTTACTGGCGAAACAATATATTCTCCCTTTCGCAAGGGGGAGGAGGAGGGGGGACGATGAAGAAGTCTCTGAATGATGATGGGTCGGCGCCGAAAATAAGCGGTTAAAGTCATCCGGTAAATTATATATCTCTCCGCAACGTTCTTCGCATTTTGATTTCCAACCGCGAGTGTTCCTCGTTTTTCTTCGTGTTCTTTAGAGATTACTTTGACGTATTTGACGAAAAAATTAAATTGATTGATTTTATTGGACTAGATTTAATATTGATCAACACTGATTTTATTATCAATTATATATTAGATCGATTTTAGGGTAACTTTGTGTCACTGATTTTGAATATGGCATTGAATTTCCTAGATTGACTTTAATTTTTGAATTTTTCTAATTTTTGAAATAGTAAAGTGAAAAACATTAAAAAATGTAATGATCAGGCGTAGTTTATTTCTCCCCCAAATCATGTGGAAACTGTCTCAAATCATCTTAAAAGTATATATATATATATATATAAAAGATATTTTGGGGCTATTGAATCCAAAAATGACAACAATTTTGCTAAACAACAATTGGCTCTAGTTTTAGATACTCAAATTACGATTTCATCCCAAATATGATCTGTAGCCATTGACATATGCAGCAAGGTTTGACCTGTCTTTTTGTTTTTTTAACATTGTTTTTATCTCCAACATGATCCTAATGATCTATATAAAAGAAATTCGTATAAATAGCATTTTTCTATGCATTAATTTTGATTATCTGAATTTACTTTGTTTTTTATGTTATTTGATTGAATATAACATTATTAGATATATATATATATATATATATATATATATATATATAAAATATCTAATAATGTTATATTCAATCAAATATATATATATATATAAAATATCTAATAATGTTATATTCAATCAAATAACATAAAAAACAAAGTAAATTCAGATAATCAAAATTAATGCATAGAAAAATGCTATTTATACGAATTTCTGTTGACCAGTGTAATTTAACTCTGTCACAATGTATCTAGCATATATGCACAGAAAAAAGACATGCCACCAGTGTAGTTGTCATTTTTGGATTCAATATTCCCAAAATACTTTCAATTTGATCAAACATCTTTGGCAATTAAACAAAGGTTTTTTTCTGTTAACCAGTGTAATTTAATTCTTTCACAGCGTATCTAACATATATGCACATCTAAAGAAAACCTATTTATCTTTTTGATTTGTATGAAACTTGATATGCTATGATTTTTGAGGTTACTGAACTCGAATATAATATCAGAATTTAAAAATGGCGGCTCCGATATAGCAGATAAACATTTGAAAGAATGATTAGATTGTTACAAAAATAAGTTTCTCAAAAATTATTGAGGTCGTTAAATCAAAATATATCTGAATTTTGTTATTCTGACAGATGAAACTTTGCTAAAAAGAATAACGTAAAAATAATAATTTATATAAACTTTATCAAAAATATTATATCAATATTTTAGATCCGCTATTTTGAATTTGAAATTCTGATGTTATTCGGATTGAGCGACTTCAAATACCTCTTGATACAAAAATTATTACGAAAAACTAAGAACTACAAAACTTTTTCTTCACACACTGGTGGCATTTTGCGACACTGCGAAGGGGTTAAAAATTGAGATATAGCACTACAGTATAATTAATTTTTTTTAGTATGAGGAGACACTTGACATCGAGGCCCTCAACAATACGAGAAGGGCCGACCGGCAGGTCTTGTTCTTCAATCGCGTGCCAAAAGTCGGCTCGCAGACCTTCATGGAGCTGCTTAGGAGGCTGTCGATCAGGAACGCGTTTTCGTTCAACAGGGACCGCGTGCAGCGAGTCGAGACTATACGTCTCGCGCCGATCGAACAGGTAACGAACTACCCCCCTCAGGGCGGTCAGAAGGGGGACGGGCAGCCCAATCAATTATCATCAATCGCGGCGATGGCAGCGACGTAGTAATTACCTATCTTAATTTATAATCCCGTCGAGCCCTACATGGTGATAGAAAAGTACAACGATACCTGGACTGATCAAGTGATTCACGCGCTAACGGTTCCGTCCCTTCCTCGTACTTCCTCGTGCTCGCCGCGGGTCTTTCCTTCTTGATAAAATTACGGGGGAGGGAGAGGAGAAATATCGTTTATTTTTCATAGAAACCCGTCACGAAGAGCGATGGAGATAAGAGACGTGGAGCGATTTGCGGACAAGTGTAGCTTGCTATTACGACATTTGGAGAAAATAGAATCCGCGATTTAAAAGCGACAAGCTCAAGTTGGCTAGATTTTTTTTCGAAATAATCTCTTCCTCTATTTACGAGGATCGTTATGACTCGTGTAATAAGGAAAGTAACAAAGAAAGAAGATTTATTATTTTTTTCGCAATCTCTCAAAGTACTTTGAAAGTACTATATAATTTGTATGTAATTTTGAATTAACTTTGTTTTGTATACACACATTTTCAGCTCCATCTTGCTAGGATGGTCAGCAGCTATTCGGAGCCGTCTGTCTACGTAAAGCACGTCTGCTTTACTAACTTCACAGAGTGAGTGCCACAAGATTAGCCTCGGCAATTTAAATGATTGCTACCACTCTCCATTTTCTACTCACTACTTTCCTTGTGTCTCTCCCCGTCGTCAGGTTTCATCTACCAGAGCCGATTTACATCAACATAGTACGCGATCCCGTCGAGAGGGTCATATCCTGGTATTATTATGTAAGAGCGCCGTGGTATTACGTGGAGAGGAAACAGATCTTCCCGGATCTGCCGCTGCCCGATCCCAATTGGCTTAAGAAGGACTTCGAGTCTTGCGTTCTTAAAGGCGATCGGGAGTGCAGATATCTGGAGGGCGAAGTCCACGAAGGTATCGGCGATCATCGCAGGCAAACGCTCTTCTTTTGCGGACACAGCGAGAAGTGCACGTAAGACAAATGTTATTTGCAAAATTTGTAGAAAGTTATTTTTCCAAGTAAAATTAAGTAATCAAATGAAGGGGATACCTCAGCTAACTACAAACTCCAAATAGTAGCACCCTCATTTTGGAATTAAAAATATCGGTAATTACCGACCGATTTTTGTCGAAAATAATTACTGATATTACTGATAGAATAATTACTGATATTTTGAACTTCACATTATAAATCATCCAGATCAAACATGTATTAGAAATCCATGTATATATGGCACACATGGAGTCACCTTTTGCTACGTTTAATACTATTATAGATTTTAACGTAAATATGTATTGCTGTTTTTCACTCTATTATACCTACAACGCACGCACACATACATACAAATTGTAATAAAAACTATATACTTTTATATTAGACTTCTAATCAAGATTTAGAGGATAATAGTGTTTTCTTTCATGTATCTTAATCTCGTCAGAGATCTTGTGTTTATATTCATACAAAATATATATTTTTTTATATAAAGCACCTAATATGATGAGTTCACAGCTCGTCTGACATTCGAGGCGTCAAATAGAGACAAAAAGTAGATAAGGAAAACTGATTTTGTAATTATTTTTCGTTTTTCATGTAAAAATTTCGAATTTCCCTGGGATCATTGATGTATGTATTGTAATCGTAGAGAAGCATTTTTAATTCCGTCAAATTAATGCGACAAAATACTAGAAGTACGGAAATAATAATTGCTCGATAAAACAGACAAACGTGAAGGATTCCCTTAAACACATTACGATAATTTTAAATACAAAATTTTTTAAATATAAATAATTTTTACGACTAATACTGGCTAATAAATATTTAATAATCACCACAACGTTTCAAACCATGGGTTTTGGTCCTTCTCAAGTGTACTACAATAAAGTATTACACTTAAGAAGAACCAACACCTATGGTCGAAACGTTGTGATAATTATTCAATATTTATTAGCCAGTATTGGTTGTAAAAATTATTTATCCTTTTAATTATATATTGACTGGCAACATCAAGAATTTGATTATTTATTTTAAAATATATTATAACATATAATATGTGATATGCAATAATATAATAAATAATAATATAATAATAATAATAATAATAAATAATAATAATAATAATAATAATAATAATAATAATATTTTGATGAATTTGAAAATATATTACTTAATTTTTATAGGATAATATAAAAACATGATATTATTTTAATGTACTTGCCTTTTCAAGTCCTTTCAACACCGTGGGTGCCCTGGAGCGAGCGAAGCTGGCGGTAGAGAAGCACTATGCGGTAGTTGGCGTCTTGGAGGACATGAACACGACTCTCACGGTGCTGGAAAACTACATACCACGATTTTTCCAGGGAGCTACTAATGTTTACTACGGTGAGTAATCGATCAATTATTTTAATTGAGTGTCAATTAATGAGTATAGCTACGTTTGATATTATTTTACGAGTACATGATTAGTGAGATACGCTGATAAAAAGTTTAAAATATTTTATATATGTATGCAATAATAATTAATACTTATTTATACTAATAATTATTGTATAATAGTTTCCCAGTAGCAAACTAACGTCATTAAACGTCAAACTGACGTCAGTTTGTTATTTGGGTTATAATTGTTAATAACAATAGTATAACTGTATGTTTATTACTATACATATAATAATAACAAATTATAATTATTGTGAAAATCGCCAGAGTTCAACTTAATAAAAATATAATCAAACAAGAAATATTTTTGTCGGCTCTCAATATTAAATAATAATAACATAAATATGATATTTTTAAATCGGTCAATAGAGCCCAAAGCGCGAAAATTAATTTTTCGGAACTGTATCTCTTGGTACGAGATTACCAAAAGTTAAGTTTTTATAAATTAAATTAAAAAATAGGATAAAACTACCTTTTATATAAAACATCTGAGATGACAAAGAAGGTGATAGCACATATTAAAACTTGAGAATCGTCAAGTGTAGATATTTTATATATAGTCTTAGCACTTATTTTTAGAGAGTGTCACCGATGGAAGTACATAGACGACTGAGTTAAAAACTAACAAGAAAGAAGAAATGTTTAAACGACCTTTATTATTTTGTCATATATCGGGTTCAAGTTTTCTGTGTCTCTCTGTAAATTAATTGTGTTTCATACTTTTTTATGAAAAACATTTCTGAGATTTCTCTTTTTCTTGTGTGCTTTTCACAATATAGAATACTTGAATTTGTCCATTTGAATTCATTTCTATGTTTGCTAATGACTGTCCATTTATTCGAATGCAATTTAATATTATTCACGTGTTCTTTAATACGTGTGGCTACTTGTCTTTTCGTCTGTCCAATATATGTAGCGTTGCAGTCATTGCAGTCCAATTTATAAACAACTTAGGTTTTATTTGTCTTACATATTTTGTCTTTCCCTAATTTGATAATTATGTTGAGTTTTTTCGGAATAGTATGTATAGTTGTTAAACCTGTCCTTTTCTTAAGCACGTTATTTTTATTCATTAATCTTTCGATATATGGTAAAAAAAATGCAAGAAGACATGTCAAACTCGCAACTCTCATTATTATCGTTGTTATTATCATTATTCTTTCTGCGTAATAGATTTTTAATCTTTGGTTTACAAATTTGTTAGCAAGTCTTGGCGGAAAACAATTAATCGTTAAACTTTCTTTAACTCTCTTTATATCCTTTTTATGAAAACACTCGTTTGAAAGTAAAATCGCGTGATCTACTAACAAAAGTTATTAATCGTATTAATTTTGTATTTGAATGGATGGTTAGAAAAAAAGTTCAGTATCTTCCATGTCGGTTTCTGATACCAATTAGTTAGAAGTCTCCTATTCGACCTGATGACAGTGGTGTCCAAAAAATTGATAGAGCTGTTAGCTTCAATTTCATGGGTGAATTTTAGACGTTGGTTATAATTATTAAAGGTTGTTAGAATTACATAAATTTTTGTACGAGGGACGATTGCAAAAATATCATCCACATATCTGTAATATACCGGAACTTCAAAATCCAACGAGTTTAAGCAGTGTGTTTCAAGATTATCCGTAATAATGTCTGCTAGTAAAGGCGATGACGGAGATCCTATAGGACTTCCGAACACTTGCTCATAGTACTGACCATCAAAACTAAGCATAGTAGAATCCAAGATTGTTTCAATCATATGGAGAAATTGTGGTAGGTTAAATGTTGTTTCAATGGTTATATCGTCCCAACGTTTAGTGATTGCGCTTATAACTAAATCTTTCGGCATATTAATAAAGAGCGATGTAACATCCAGAGAGATTAGTAACTCATTATCACTAATCTTTCGGTTATTTATACTACGATATTAGCAAAGTCCAACCATCTTTAATATGAGATGTTGGTTATAATAATAATAACTATAATGTATAATTATAATTATATATTATATATATATATATATACATATATATATATATATATATATATATATAATTATTATATACTCAGGATATTTTAGATTATCCGTCCATCTCTTTCATTTTGGTAATGATTCAAAATTATGAAAAACCGCAAAATACGTTTTTAAAAGAGTAAATTTCTCGAAATAATCAAACACGCTCGCGTATTTTGCATTTTTTCATTATTTTGAGCAGTTTCTAAAATAAAAGAGGTGGACGGGTGATCTGAAACACCTTATATATGTAGTTATTACATATACGGATTGTGCGAAGTCCCTGAACGGTATAATATTTTAGAAAGGATTACAAAAAATGTTTTATACAGAACATATAATGTTTAAAGAACCCATTTAGCTATTTGAACAATTTGACTTTAGATGGTATTACCAAGATCATATCAAGGTCATCTAAAATTTGTGAATGAAACCACTTTTTTTTATATATAAATCGATTTCTTACAATATTCTGTATACGAAGTTATAAGAATAAAATGATCAGAAAGTGAATAGTTTTCACGGGATATTTTATATGTTAATTTGACATAATCTTACATAAACTATAAAATATCATAAAGTATTGATGATCTTACTTCAATACTTTTATGCACGAAATAATGAGGAATTAATTGATGTAAAGGAAACACATAATCATTTTTAAGAAATAGTAACTTCTAATTGCAAATTACATATTTTTTCTTAAAACAACTATGTGTTTTCTTTAATATATAGTGCTATAATAATTATAATTAATTATAACTACATTGTATTAATATATTTAATTACTAATAACAATAAATAATAGCATAACTACTCATACAGTACACAAAGATTGCATACACATTGCAGCAATCTTTCACTGCAATATTGTAACATTGTAAACACACTGCAAAATGTTGCTGCACCATTGCTGGAATTGCAAAATGATAAAATGTCCGCTTTTAGGAAGATTACAATAAAATATAGCAATATTCTAATGTAATGAATTTGCAATACTGCATATATATTTATTTTGGGTATATAAATGTAATTATTGACGATACATTATAGTTAAATGTCTTTATTTGTTCTTTTGTTAACGTTAATAAAATAACATTGCACATAACATGTTAACGTTAAAATAAAACTATTCTAATTTCTTTTTATATTAGAAAAAAATAAAAATGTTCCTATTATTTATTATATCATTTTGTATAGCTATAATATCATGTGAAATTTTTGAGATAACATATGTAATGCAGTGTGAGACGCAGGCATGTTTTTACTGGAAATGGTTTTGATATTAGCTATTTTTTAACAATAATAAATACGCGATATGCGGTTCAGCTTTAAATATTTAATTAAAATATTTAATTTAAATTTATTATAAAAATTTATTATATATAAAATTTATATTTTGCAATGTTTCCGAAATATTAATATCATGTTGTTACAAGTGTGCTGATATTTTGTGGCTTTATATTTCTGCAATGTCTTTGCAATGTTGCATTGCAAATATAACATTGCAATATTGCTGCAATGTCTTTGTAATGTTGCATTGCAATTTACAACATTGCAACGTTGTTGCAATGTTATTGTAATGATCTGTGTTGTATGGGATATTATTACTACAATTACTACAATTTATATAATAGTAATTTATAGTTATTTAGTTGATATCTTGATATTTGTAAATATATATTATTGTATAATCATAAATTGCTATAATAAAATTATTATTATGTAATTTTAATTATATTTAATGTTGTTCAATTTTTTTCGTGCAGATCAAGTGAATTCGTTCACGAGGATCAATCGGAATTTCTTCAAACCGCCAGTCAGCGAGGAAGTAAAAAACCTGGTGCGCAGCAACTTCACTCGCGAGGTCGAATTTTATCAGTTTTGCAAGCAACGTCTTTACAGACAATATAGCGCTCTCAAGTTGCAGACCAACGTTTTGTGATCGACGAATAACAATTCCTAAAGAAGATTATCCTCCGTCCATTGGTGTGTGCGAGTGTACTTATTAAAAGATAGACGCACGAAAAGCATTACGAAAAAGGACGTATAGTTCAATATAAGTGTATTAATTAGAGTGTTAGTGATTCGCTAAAAATTTACAAAACAAATACGATAGTTAGTCTGGAAGGATATTAATCTATAAGAACTTTATTGCATAACGGACAGTACAGAGACAATATTATTTGTAAAAAAGAAAGACTGTAATAATTTTCGAATTAATTCGGATTTAGGATTATCGAAAATTTGCGGAAAACACTGTGTTTTTAATTAAATTATTGCGATATTATCAAAATCGCAATGTTAAAGGTTATTACGAACTAAAATAAAAAGTTTAGGATGTTATCGAAGATTGAATTATAACTATTCCACAAAGTTAAAAACAAAAAGAGAATATATATATTTGTCTACTCCGATTTACTTAGCGATTACCATTAGTTTGCCCTTACAATTTTGACGAACTTGCGCTGGAAAAGAACAGAATTTTATGACTTAAGGAGAAACGAAACGTCCTTGAGAACTCTGTGGTTTTCGTCTTGTTCTATCGACAAAATGTAAGGTTAGAGAAACTATAAATCTATTGTGCAACCGGAAAGTCGCCCTTTACGCACATGATGGGATTTTAGAAAGGGCTCTCTTTCCACGCACCGGTCACACAAAATATCGTAGCCAACATGTGCGGGTCATAAATCGGCCGATCGTGCGGATTGTCACACTCGGTTTCGCCTCGTGCGCCAAACTTCCGCACTCTCGGCCGATTTACAATCCCCGCACTTGTTAGCTAATATACTATTTATTGATTATACGGATTGTTTTTTACCTTAAATTAGAGCGCTTCGCAATTTGTTAATATTAATACTTTAATTTGTACAGGAAAAAGATTTATCAATCTGTATAGTCTCATATCTAGGTTGCAGAATTATGAAAAAAAGAATAGCCAATAAATAAACTTATAGTTTATCTAACCTCACATTTTGTCGATAAAACAGGACGGAAACCACAGACTTCTCAAAGATGTTTAGGATCCCCTTAATCAAATTACAAAGAGAGAAAAAGAGAAAGATTAAATCTCTATATAATTATTGTGATGATCTAGTACAATTTCAGAGAATATTGATGAAGATGGAAATTTAGCCAGATGCACATTTTTGACTATTATTTTATAACGAAAAGACAAGGAAGAAGACAATTTTGTCAGAAGTAATAATACAATCTGATGTAATTTAGAAAAATCTTTATAGACTTACGTTCAGCGAAGATAAGATGTAATTGTATAATCGAAATACAATTATAAAGGTTATTGAAAGAAGAAGAGAAAGATTAGTGTACATTTAGCATATTAAATGTTTGCAAAGTTTTACAGAAGAAGGAGGACTGGTCGTTTTATATAAAGATTACTGTAGACGCGAATGCAACATGCAATCCAGAAATAGAGACGCTCTCAGCGAATATGCCGTATGGTCTCTGCAACCAGACGTCATGCTATTTTTTTTAAATAGGAATCACGCACGAATTATACGCGATTTCGAGACGCATTTATGATTCTAAATATACATATACAGAATGTCCGATAATAATTGCTCCATTTTCGTATGTAAAACGTAAGTAAAACGAATAGAAGTTCTCTATCAGTTTGCGATCTTTGCAATAATTATTAATGAGAAATTACTCAAAAAAGATCATCCAATCCACGCGAATATATTAAGTACGTGACAAAAAGAAACAAAAAACATTCCACCTTACATCGATGCTAGGCACAATAATTAATTGATTATTATTAATCCCAATTCTTCATCGCTTTGAGTAACTGTGTAAATTTTCAAACAGCCTAGTCAAAATGATGTCATCAATATAACATTGAAACCGTCGTTTGCGTCAAGAAAATAAAATATGAACGAAAAATTGACATCATATGTATAGTAACGTGATGTGATGAAACATTATATAAGAAATGGTAAAAATAGATGTTTAGATGATAATTTTAATGCTTATATGGATGGGAAAAAATCAATGTCATGTTGACATCAAAATGACTATATATATATACATATGTATATATATATAGTCATTTTGATGTCAACATGACATTGATTTTTTCCCATCCATATAAGCATTAAAATTATCATCTAAACATCTATTTTTACCATTTCTTATATAATGTTTCATCACATCACGTTACTATACATATGATGTCAATTTTTCGTTCATATTTTATTTTCTTGACTATATATATATATATATAGTCATTTTGATGTCAACATGACATTGATTTTTTCCCATCCATATATAGCATTAAAATTATCATCTAAACATCTATTTTTACCATTTCTTATATAATGTTTCATCACATCACGTTACTATACATATGATGTCAATTTTTCGTTCATATTTTATTATCTTGACGCAAACGACGGTTTCGATGTTATATTGATGACATCATTTTGACTAGGCTGTTTGAAAATTTACACAGTTACTCAAAGCGATGAAGAATTGGGATTAATAATAATCAATTAATTATTGTGCCTAGCATATATATATATATATATATATATATATATATATATATATATATATGTAATGAGACAGTTTGTAACTTATCTTATAGAGCACAGCGAATGGATTACAACAATGTTACAATCTTACAAGTTGCAATGTAATATAATATTATTGTAGAGACATTACAGTAACATATACTGTAATATTTTATAAAATCTGAGAAATGTACAGCAACATTTAAAAAATAATATAAAAATGAGGAAATTTACTATAAAGTATCTACGATATTATTTGTTGAAATCTTGTAAATCTGTTTTGTAATTTTTACTTCGTTTACTCAAGCATTTACCCAAGATAAGTAATAGTTTTCTTTGATAAAAGGCTTCTGAATTAGTGCAGCCAGTTCAGCTAAAAAAATAGACCTTTTGTCTCTGCTCACATTGAATGTAATTTAATTTTTTAATCTTCCATTTATTCCATATAGAGATAATTATTTGCATCAAAATGGCAATCAGAATAATCATCATTAAAAAATGTTTTGTCGTCAAATCGCACTTTTTTTGCTACCATTTTGATGTATCTATTTGACATCTTACATTTCATCAATTTGATGACACTAACATTTTGACTAGGTTGTTTTAACTTACTTGGACTTGATCGATCTTTATTTGAAATTAATTTCTCCTTAATTATTGCGAAGGATCACAAAATTAGAGGACTTTCCTACTCAATATAATTTGTTTTATCTGCACATTGATAAGGCGATTATTACAGATATCTTGTATATTTCACAGTAATTGAAATGTAACGTTTTTGCAATGATTTTTCTCGAGTGGACGATGGAAGAACAACGTAAAGACTGATGAAAACCATGGTTTTTTTAATCGCGGAATTACTTACAGATGACAAAGAGAAATTATACAGATGACAAAGAGAAATTATACAGGGTAAGCAGTTAGAATATTAGCGCTTTCCGAAGAGAATAAAATGCATAACACACGTTTGTACTTTCATCGATTATTTGGAATAAAACGCTGCCATTATAAAAATTACCTTTCAAACTTCCTCTCCTATTATCTTACCTTCAACGATCTACTACCAATCTGATTACTTTTTATTGTTTGAGCTGATATTGAGTAGTCGCACCTATTCGTCAATTAACTTAGAAATCTTCGATCTTCGCTGGTCAATATTTTCATAAATGTCAATTTGATTTTATTTCTGTGTCGAAAGAATCTACTATATGTATGTGCCAAATCGCATTCCTTCATCCGATGATACAGTTTAAATTCAGAACTACAGCATTACTTTTATTTCGAGAATCTCTAAAACGAGACTAGCACGTGATATTTTACACATTTTCTAACGGATGAGCCAACAAACATTATTCATCATTTAAAGCTCTGATATAAACTTTTCCACTTCAAGTTAGATAAATCGTAAGTAAGATTAAAAATTGATGTAATACGAATATATTAGTCCACAATTTGTAAAATCCATTTTCGCGTGTTGGTACTTTAAAAATATCCAACTTCTTTCCATTCTTTAACTTAATCTTAATCCTTAATATTGGAGCAAAAGTATAAGATAAAAATACATATAAATAAATTTTTTTAATTGCAAAACCAATAAAAAGTATGAATCGTTCTATCATTTATTATTTTAATAATATATAGAACAAGAGTGTGTGTATATAATTTGACATAAGGTGTTACATCGAAAAAATACAAGTACATCTTGTTATTTGGAGACAATTTATCCTCGGCAAAAATATTGAGGCATCAATAATTTTTGAGTTATAAGCGACTGAAAATAAAGTTTTTCGCAAGCTAAGCCTTGTGGAAATAAAATATTAACAAAAACCACATTCTCCAATTTATTTTAAAGTAGAGTTTACTTTAGTAAAAATTTAATTTAAGGTTTAGTTATATTATATAAAGATATATAATAGCAACAATTGGGAAAATGCAAGAAATGATGGCCTCTCTCGACATTTTTGCTGAGGAAAAATCGTCTCTAAATAACGAGATCTACTTGTATATTTTTGGTGTGACATTTTATGTCAGACACCCTATACATATATTGTACTTCTTTCTTAGAATTCACTCTTTTTTGCGAATATCTAACTTCTATTTCGAATCAACATTATTTACGCATACATTCTCGCCTCGCAACGATAGGCGTGTAAATTTACTTGATTAGAAAAGAAAAAATGCTTAACTTATTAATAATTTCATCTAACGATACAGATGATTATATAACGAACAGTGCGAACGTCGAGAGTCATTCCAATAAAATGTCGTAAGATATTTCACCGTTGTAAATTTTTATGCAATATACAAGGTGTCCCATTTTTTTAAAAACGCACTTCAATAATTCTTTAAAAAAGCATTTTCAGTAAAAATGTTTCAGACAAAAGTTGTATGGTTTCAAGAGAGACATAAAATTGTGCCATTGATTTGACCTTGAAAAGTCATTTAAAGGTCACGTGAAGGTCAACTTTAATTTCTTAAATGGAATCATTTATTTTTCATTGTATATTTTTGTAGCTTATCTCGAGAGCCAAAACACTATTATAGAGTTTTGGAAAGCTATTGAGATAAGCTACAAGAATATACAATAATAAAAAATAAATAGTTTCACTTAAAAAATTAAAGTTGATCTTCACGTGACCTTCATATGACTTTTCAAGGTCAAATCAATGGCACCATCTTATGTCCCCTTCGACACCATACAACATTTTTCTGAAACATTTTTGCTGAAAATGCTTCTTTAAAGAATAATTGAAGTGCGTTTTTTTAAAATGGGACACTCTGTATATAGAATACTTAATATTATAAATAAACATATAATACATTGATAATATTGTTGCATCCTCGGGACGCCTCTCGCTCAGTCACTCATGTGAGGGTGGTAGATATTTAATGAGAGGACTCTCTTTGTTGGGATGCCTGGATTCGCGGGTGTCAGGAAAGCCGCGGGAGAGGCGAACAAAGGGGTCTTGCTCGTGAGATGGTTGTAATAATTATCACACCACGTTTAACTGAACTGATCTTTATTCACGCGCATGGTACTTACAAATACCATGTTCTCGCCGTGTGACTCTATATTCTAACT